GAGGGTCTGCCCATTGCCGGTAAATAAGAAAAATAGTGCCTCGGAAAATAAAATTTGCAAGTGAAAAAGTATACGGTTAGCACATTTTACTTTATACCGCTAAGTTGAATACGACCTCATATACTCCGGGAACCTGACCGTTCGACCTGATCGTGTTTTCTGTTGCGCCGATGGTTGTTGCAGCTGTGCATTACCAGGCGCATCGTCAAGAATTTCGATAATTGAGTTATCCGTCGGTCGGCTGTAGCGACCTGAAACGCCACTTAATATGGGATTGCCTTCAAAATAAGCTGGTTCAAACGGTCGATACTGACAGTATCTTCACGTCCGTCTCGCTCAGTCGTTTGAGGTATGACCGGAGAAGGCGTAAGTGAACGCACTGCGTTTGTAAACCTAGTCATGTAAGATGCCCTGTCGGAAACATGTTTGAAAGTTGAAGGAGAAACAAACTCATCTGGTAGGCGAAGAGTGGTCCCAAAGACGAGTTCTGCAGGAGTGCATCCAGCATCAACTATCAACGCGTTAAGCATACCTAGCAGGACTAGAGGCAGGGCCTCGGTCCACTGAAGTAAGTTTACAGCTGAAAGGGAAGCTTTCAGCTGTCGATGGAAACGCTCTACCATGCCATTTGCTTGTGGATGGTAGGCTGTTGTTCGGAACCGGGTGCAACCTAAAAGTGCCGTTAGAGCTCGAGATAATCCACACTGGAATTGGCCCCCACGATCGGTTGTGACGTCAGGTGGACATCCGGAGTTCGCGATCCATCTTTCTATGGAAACATGAGCTACTGTTTCAGCAGCAATATCCTTAATAGGTACTGCTTCCGGCCATCGTGTGAAACGATCAACACAAGTGAAAAGGTAGGTACATCCATTAGATTCTGGTAGGGGTCCTACAATATCTATATGGACGTGGTCGAAACGCATGTCTGGGGCTAGAAATGAGCCTAAAGGGCTTTTCGTGTGTCGCGTGACTTTACACTTTTGACAAGCTAAGCACGACTGAGCCCACTCCTTAACGTCTTTGTTCATCCCAGGCCAGCAGAAACGTTGTGCGATAAGCCTAATGGTGGCTCGTACACCTGGATGAGAGAGTTTGTGCAACGTATTGAAGACGTTGCGTCGACAACTCTTCGGAACTATTGGGCGTGGTTGACTAGCAGAGACATCGCACAAAATTGTATCCTTGTCTGATCCAACCGGACAAAGTCGCAGTTTGAGAGTTGTGGACGACAACTCATGATGCAGCTCAAGGTCTTCCTTTTGACGCCGAGCTAGTTCAACGAGATCAACCCTCGATATGGTTTATCGAAGCTATTCGAGATAGTGCGTCGGCTGCGGAGTTGTTTGCTCCAGAAATGTGGCGGATGTCTGACGTGAACTGGGAAATGTAATCCAGCTGTCGCGACTCACGAGGGGAGTATTTGTCAGACGCCGAGCTGAGGGAAAAGGTTAACGGTTTGTGGTCTGTGAAAATAATGAAATCACGACCTTCCACAGAATGTCGAAAATGGCGTACAGAACAGTACATGGCTAGGAGTTCCCTACCAAATGTACTGTATCTTGTTTCCGCGTCTTGCAGCCGCCTCGAGAAAAAGGCTAACGGTTGCCACTGGTTGTCAGTCAACTGTTGCAAAACTGCTCCAATTGCTGAATCAGATGCATCAACAGCAATACTCAAGGAGCATTGGGGTCATGATGCATAAGCATGGTTGCGTTCGAAATGGCTTCCTTGACTTTAGAAAAAGCAAGTCTAGCCGCGTTGTCCAGAGACACGAACTTCGCAGTTCCTCGAAGTAGATCTGTTAGTGGTCTCATGACAGAGGCACAGTTAGGGATAAACCTTCGGTAATAACTTACCAGGCCATTGAAAGTGCGGAGATGTTTCACAGTGGTCGGCTCTGGATAGTTTGTGATAGCCGCCACTTTATCTCTCAATGGGCGTATACCTTTGTTGTCAATGGTATGCCCAAGGAAGCTGAGTGATTCAACTCCTATTTCACACTTCTGTAAGTTGACTGTGATGCCATGTTTTTTAAGTCTTTCGAATGCGAGGTCCAAATGTTTAAGGTGAGTTTCCTTATCTGGACTCGCAATTAGACAGTCATCGATGTAGACATGAACAAAATTCAAACCACGGAAGACATCATCCATAAAGCGTTGGAATGTTTGTGCTGCATTCCGAAGACCAAATGGCATGCGCAGGAATTCAAACAGGCCAAAAGGAGTAATAATGGCTGTTTTCGCGATATCTTCTGCTGCCATAGGTATCTGGTTGTACGCTTTGACCAAGTCGATTTTGGAGAAAATGTTCATTCCGCATAAGGTTGCAGTCAAGTCGTAAACGTGAGGTATCGGGTAGCAGTCCGGAGTTGTTTTGGCGTTAAGCCTTCGGTAATCACCGGTTGGACGCCAGTCGTTGCTATCCTTTTTGGGAACCATGTGCAATGGCGATGCCCAAGGGCTGTTTGACGGTCTGATAATGCCCAGTTCGAGCACGTGGTCGAATTCGCTTTTCGCCGTTTTGAGCTTATCGGGGGCTAAACGGCGCGTTTGGATGCCACAGGTGGACCTGTGGTTGTGACGTGATGCATAACATTGCTGGTTATGCACGGAAGAGTGTGCTTCGGTTGCTGTAACTCTGGATATTTCTCCAGAACTGCCTGGTAGGACGCGTCGCCTGATTGTTTGCTTCTAACGATGGCTAAACTCGGACCTACATAGGTGGTGCCGCCAATAGATAACTTTGTGTTGTTATCTATCAGTCGTCGACGGCGAGCATCTACGAGTAGATCGTAATGGTTTAGCAAATCTATGCCAATGATGGGCATAGAGACGTCAGCAAGGAGGAAAATCCAGTGGATAGGTTTGCGTAAACCTAAGTTGAGGTAGGCATACCGTCTCCCGAATGTCGCGATTGCCTTGCCGTTGGCTGCTTGAAGATTGAAGGATGGGTCATGATGACGCTCCTTTGTCGTTGCTGGAAGAACGCTAACTTCTGCGCCGGTGTCGACGAGGTAGCGGACTTTCGTTTTAATGTCGGTGACGTAGAGCAAACGGCTGTTTCCGCCGGCTACGGTTGCCGTGAACACGTGCCGGCGTGACCGTTTCCCGAGTTTGTGTCCTTGCTAAAACTGCATGGTTTCCGACATTTTCTGGCTTCGTCTCCGTAAGTATTATGCAGCCAGCGCCATTCAGGGTTTTCCACCCTGTTGGGTTTAGTTTTGGGGCAACCACGAGAGTTGCTGCGATGCACTAAGATGCGTTTCTGTGAAGTGCTACGTAAAATAGGACTTCGAGATCGTAGCAACTGTTTAACAGAGTTGCACAGCTTTGTCACCTCTGAATCCTGGCTCTTCGGTTTGTCGCAGACAGAATATACGTTGGAGACGGGTCTGCTGGAAATCTCCAGTATTTTATCTGCCGAGGCTGCCAGGTCGTCGAGTGGGACTGACTGCAGTGTCACCAACACGGTTTGCACCGGTTGTGGTAGTTTCGAGAGAAATAGTTCTCGGAAAAGGCCATCGTCGAATGTTCGTGCACCCATAACTTCTCGCATGCGTGCGAGGACTTCAGTAGCTGAGTGGCTGCCCATCTCGATGTTACGAAGTAATTCGTCTAGGCGCTGGCGATCTGTGAGATCGCTTTTCTTCAAGAGTGAGGCCTCGAGAAGTGCATAGGGATCACTTACTTCAGGATTAAACATGTGTGCTGTAACGTGTCTATTTAATTCCCGCGGTAGTGACCGTATGACAGCAAGAAATCGAGAATGAGGATCTGGGATGCCCTGTTCTCGAAAATTTGCCTCGGCATACACAAACCATGTTTCCGCATTGTCTGGCCAATATGGCACGAGTTGGATCGTGTTCGTAGTCGGCTTAATACGAATAAGCTTGGGAGTGTGGTCGGACATGAGAAAGTGTAGTAAATGAATATATAAATATCGAAATGAAAACAATATACAAATACAAAATGGAACAGGCTCACCAATTCAATATTTGTAATTGGTCGGGATATGTGATCACGTCAGGCTCACCAATTTAGGATTTGTCCTGGTGCGAACTTGACAGACGCGAAGACTAATCACTAATTATTCGGACTTGTTATATACCCACGAGTACGAGACCAAGGAAGAATAGTATATTTGGATGGTTGTGTCAAGATACCGATGCGTTCCAACTAACTGGCTAGAGAGTCGAATACGAGCAGTGCAACGTGACACGACAGCGTGCCAAATGGTGAGGATGCTTGACCGGGTGCCTTCAGCTTAGCGAGTCCAGTTAAACTATGAAGGTCAACATCAGTGTCGAAAGTCGTCAAACCCTAGGCTGTTGATTTTGGGGAGGTGTGTGACGCTACGCTTCTAACATTAGGAAAGATCTTGCCTCACTGTAGAGAAGAAGAAGAACAAAATTAAGCGAACTGTGGTACACTCCTTCCGTGTTCACCCAGACGCTATGAGGTCTCAATATGTGCTACAAAGTGCATCATACAGGAGGTAACCATAGTACATCATCCTGGCCATAGTTGTGACCATTCCGGCACATATTTATCGGTATCGTTTTAGAATGTGTCCTTGAAAATGTAGGCCATGAGAAGACCTGAATCAAGATCCGTGCTAGCCTATTTCCGATTGGTACCTATAAACTGTGAAATTCCTTGTTTGAGGTTTTAACAGCTCCTTGCCTCAGTGCTATCAGAAGGAGGCCAGCTACTCTTTTAGAGTACTCTGGTGTAGATGGGATTTCCTCAAGGTTGTTCTGGTATCCTACAAACTTTGGCTAGTGGCAACTCCATCCTTTCAGATTTCAAGGAAGAAGGACAAGAATTGTTACCATTACATAAAATCAGGGTTATAAAGCAGTGCAGGTGCTAAACTATAAGAACAGTTGTTATCTATTTTTGCAATGTGTTGCTTGAGTGTGAAGTTTGAATGCATCTACTCAAGGCTAAGATAATTACCGGACGTCTCAAGAATCCCCTAATGCCGGCTGGCCACCAATGGATCCTAATTCGTTATTGAGAGACCAAATAAGACACAAACTAGCTGCAGTTAGTCTGTCGTCCAAGCATGTTAAAGACGCTGCATCATTTTTGCTAACTCAAGCAGAACAGTCTGATTTCATCTCAAGCCAGTGGTTTGAAATATTCAAAACTAGTAGGTTTAAATATTCTTGTTTTCTAACTGAAATGATTTTGTCGTCGTTGGATTATTTGTCAGCTAATTTATGAACATGAAGGTTACAGTGACCATTGTAGACGTCGTGTCGGGGTACACCTGCAGTATTAAACCCTAGTATTCCCTTGAGATTAGCTCCAAGTTACTTATTGTATCCTACAAAGTATATAATTTAACTTACACTCTCTGACTCAGTCAAACGTTTTACCTTATTGGGATGAAATTGTGCTTTATGTGTCCGTTATGCACCCCAGGTGCCATTTGTAACTGTAGGTGACCGATAGCCCGTGTTCATTGTTAATAATAGTAGACCAGGCCATCAATGTAATCCCTTCTCGTATTATATTGCACTGTTGGGGCCCGCCTTCCTTTTTAGGTGTTTATTATATGACCGGTGACCACTTATTGTGGTGTCGAGTTCAAACCGTTGACTACTCTATGAGAACACCTGAGTTCGGTTGGAAGGTAATTCAATTGTAGCTTTTGAAGCTTGGTGTTTAAGTTGCGATATGTTACCGAGGCTTTTTAAGACCAAAATTTTCGTGCAATAGAATTTTAAGACTTGGCAATAAAAATGCAAACAATTGGTTTCTGATTCCTACTTTACTGCAGATTATTCGAAGACACTTTGACATAAAAGGATATAACAGTTAGTTCGATGTAATAGACTTTCCGTATTTCCAAGGATGCGTTACGTAGTCCTATTCTATGAAAGCATACAATTATGTGTGTGGAACCGCTCTTATATGAATGTTTGGTGATCTCTAAAATTATTTTTAACCATGCTATCCTTTGCTCTGTTTACTCACGTTTGGGTTGATGTTGATAGTTTACCCCTGTTTTTCATCATTGTTATGTGAAGTATGACAACCTTGACCTATATTACCCAATGTTCTCTTTCTTCGGTTTCCATAAAACAATGAAAAGACGTAGTTTATCAGCAATTTATGATGTATTAGTGGAGTAGACTTCGAACAGTTTGGTTATACACTTGTTATGCTGAATAACATAATCGTAGAAACCCTAGCAGAATTGGACGATGGAGTCATCCGATTGCGTTTATCACCTTACGTGTACGTGTGGACTTATTCTATGCAAGTGAGGGTCACCAAGCTCATTCACAAATGGCTGAGACAACATATCAAGTTGAGCTATCTCATTGACTCAGGAAACAAATGTCCAACGGTGTCTATAGCTAAACATATAGTGAAAACGGGTTACAAGGTTGATTTGTATGCCTGTTTACAAAACAAATAAGGGAGATATTTGGCTTTGTTGAAGCTCTATTTATGCGGAGGTTGCAACTTCAATACATTCAAAAATGGTTTTTATCACATAAACCTCTCTTGGTACTCAGCCTAACATCGTAGGTGTTAGTACACTATCTTTCTCTTCCCATCTATCATCTTATGGTTAAACTAACAATCTGGCACCTTATTTTATGTATAATTTTTGAACTCGTTTATCCTTTGCGATAATTCATATAAGCATGCATGACAAGTTATTAAATGTGACCAAATTGTTTGAAATGTATTGCGCTAATATAACACGTTTCAGATGAACTACGTCTTATTGTTTTGTCGGAATTTGTAAAGTGAACTGGGTGTTTCACGTTAACCAGATTCTGTTTTCGTGAATCGAATATATATACCGTACTCGATGGTCTGCTTAAGATGTAAGAAAATCACAGCTAAGTTCATGATAGCCATTAAAATGGTGCAATGTTATTTAGTAAGTTTAGGCAACTTTTATGGACACCTTTAAGCAGCAAGACTAATCCTTAGAAAATGTGAAAAGTAACTGGTGCAGATGCATTTCATTTTTATCCATGTTATCTTGAATTTAACTAACTGTGGTAGTAAGCTTTAAACGCACTGTCGCATAATTGTGCAAACAATCAATGTAAAACCTTGCTTAGGTGTACATCAGTTCAATTAGAAAACGATGTTTTAGTCAGTATTAGTGCACTAGGAGAAAGACTAAATAATAAATATCACTTAGTTGGTAATTTTGATGACTATAACAAGTGAATGTCTACGCCATTGTGACACCGTATACCAAAAGCTTTTACTCATAGACTCTTGGCATCTCGTGGATCCGTACCCAATGCTTACACGTAAATGATTTGAAAAAAGCAGGCCTTTTGGAATGGTATCCTATATTCTTCTTGTCACCTTTACCTTTCTTTCAACCTTATCCTTCTCCAACACACGTAACGTCCAGGTGTCGTGACTCATTGGTTTAGGATCATGGTTCCGAATCCCGCTCCATATGTCGATTTGTAGATAGCCATTTTATACCGTTAGCCCTCACACAATATGTGTGGTTCATTGCCTACTACCCGAATATGCATAAGGTTGCTGAATGCGTTTCGTTTGTTCATCGACACCTCACAACTCAAGTACTGTTGACCTGTTCGTATCCTTCACATGTAATTCCAGTCAAAATCAACTGATTAATACGTCTTCTAAGTTGGGGCTTAATAGTGTGGAATGGGTTTGATTTTAAATTACCATACATCATAAGTGGCAGTGTCTGTTGACTCCAGTCTTTTGAGGAGAGTATTAACTGATAACAGTATAAAATGACATGGGGTAAGTGAAATGTGAATTCATTACGTAAAATAAGTAACTATCCTGCAAACTTCATTCACAGGACTGCAGACAATATTAGACGAGAAGAGAACAAATTCAAATTGCATATCAGTAGCAGTTATCTCTCAGAAATCACGTACCTCTGGTGACATTATCAAGCTGCTCAACAGTATACTACCAGTCAATGTCAACATCAACATGGGATCTGACCTTACTGCATAACTGTCTAAGTTGCCACACTTCATATCAGTACAGCACATCAAGGTAGAAGACATCAAGGTGAAATGTAGAAATAAGAAAGCAAGTACTCAGAAGTGGTAAAAAGTTGTGAGAAGAGTACCTCAATGAAAGAACCAATTATGAATTTCGGGATCACGATTAAGATGGTGTATGGATAATTTCGTGCCGCTCAGATAGATTTCAAGCCACAAAACCTACAGTCTTCAGCCAGCGATTTCTGTTGTCACATGAACAACCGAGAAGTCTACATTCCTCCTCTCACTGCTCATATCAGCAGTCAGATACTCCATGAACTCATGACATGCTTGTTTGGGTGTCTTTCAACTTTTTCCAACCTGAACCCACTTCATCTAACATTATGAGAATGGGTAGACTGTGATTAGGCATGTGTAGCACATGTCAGCCATTGGTACCTATGAAGGCTCATAACCTCACTAAGTGACTTTCTTTTTCTGCATAAACAATTTGCCTCACAACTGCGTTACTGATATGCTAGCACCACAACACAGCCTATGCTAACAGGGAGACGGTGATCGAATATCTGAAAGTCTCCTCGTGTCTTTCACTTTTCATTGCCATTTTTTGTAGCCGTATAGCAGTACCGTGAGAACTGTAAAGGAGTACATTCAGCTCTTAATAGGCATTTGGATGCCAAAGGGGTGTCGTAAATGTTGTATCTGCTACGACCAAGTGTGTTTTTTTATTATCCGTGCCGTGATTAAGTTGGTCACTAACTCGGCGGGGATAATCTAAATTCGCTTGTCAGTTAAGTGATAAACGCACTGTACCACTTCACTATTCCATATTGTTGGATAAGACGCCAACGCAGACCACTCCTGGAGCACACATTTGTATTTAGGTGTTGAAAAACGCATCTCAAAACTTCTCTAATAGCCACTCAAGGTGTCCAGAAAACTACATCTTGTCAGTGGCTTCACCTAACATGACCATGGCAACTGAGTTCTATAGGTCCACTTAGGAGCCTCCTGAGACAGTGACTGACTAACTGACTGATAGACGAAATCAACGTAGAACCTCCGTGTAAGAAAGTAAACAATGTGAAGACAAAGGTTAGTCCGATTATCCATGCTTTGGAAGATGTCAAGGAGTGAATACGTCTGTGCCGCCATTGTGACTGACTTTCAGCCATGTAACCAAAAGTCCTCAATCACTGATTCCTTTCCTCTCAGCGACCCCAACCAGGGAGTCTCTATCTCCCAGCACGGCTCAGGCCAACATTGAGAGACTTTATCGACTGGTGTCAAGTCTTGGTCTAGCCACTCTGAACCCTTTTCCAACTTCATTCAACTTCCCCTAGCACCGCACGTTGAGGTATGAGCTTTTCTCGGCATGCGCAGTACATGTATGAGCTATCTCAGTCAGTGAAGGTTCACAACCTCATCAATCGATTTGCCTTTCTTGAATAGTACCCTTCGCCGGACCTCAACACTACTCATGCGGTGATCCCACCAAACTCCAGCAACGCTACGAAGACACCTATAATCAAAACCCAGCAACCCCTTTATGTCGTCTACTTTCATCGACCATGTCTCAGTCGTAAAACAGGACAAAACGAACTGAAGTCCAGTGTACTCATCCTGCGATGGACAGTCGGCAAATGGTAAACGGGTCTTCTGTATCCGAATTAAGATATCATCAGCAATCAGCCGGTGTGATGGGCTGACCCAACTCCCCAATGTAAGTGAAGTGGTCGACATATTCCACCACTTTACACTCTATAATTTAACTGGGAGTAGTTGCAGATTATTACTGGGGCATCATCTCATATTTGACAAGTGCGAAATGCATGTCGAAAATACTCAGATTTCTGCTGTGTCCAGAAAACCCTGCACTTTGTCAGCATCTTCCAGAAGGATAATATCGTCTGCGTACCCTAAGTCAGCTAGACGACCTCCAAGGAGTAGGTCAATCCCTGTGAAGTTAGACGTGCTTAAGGTTATGTCCATTAGTACGTCTATGACGAAGTTAAATAAGAACGGTGACATTGGTCATCCCTGACGGACCTCTCTAGTTAACACGACAACTCTCCATAACTCCTTACATGGCTGCTTGAGTTCGACTAGAGACCTTTGATAAGCATTATATACTTTCTTGGTACTCGCCTTACAGTCAGACACTGTCACAACACCTCACGGTCAACAGAATCAAATCCTGCTTTTAGGTTAAGAAGTATGGCAAGTGTCAGTCACTGACCGGACACTAACCATTATATCTCCGGACACTCGAGGTGAATTTTGGAGATTCACTGCTATGACCAGGTGACGTCAATTTAATAACCACTTTCGGGTCCTCTATATGTGTTTCACAGATACAGCATACAGCCATGGCTAGATATTCCAGAGTTTTAGCAAGCAGTGCTTGCTGTCTGATTTGGCATAGAGTCCGGACGTTGGGAGCTCCAATGTGAAATCACCACCGGAGTCTTAAGAGACTAAAACTGAGGTTTCGACTGCTTTAATCGTTGGCAATGGTTGCAGAGTGATAGGTTGGGCAAGGTGTAAGAAGTTTAATATTAGTATCAGGAGAAGAAGGCAAAGGAAGAGATAGAGTTTGGGAGGATAGGTTATTTTTATTGGGTCTTGAATACTGCTTGAAGCATGCAGGCGGTTGCTACTTCCCGGCTGTCCACACCGCGAATGTTTATTATTTTTTTGAAGGTATCTGAAAGAAAAAAAGAGTTTTGTGACCGCAGAGCCCATGCTACATCTGCTTGAGAACTGTCACACGCAGTCTTTTACTTTGAGGTTTGGTTGTTCCAACATCGGCTAGAGAGAACCTTTACCGCCGGCACAGGAAAACCGTGGGGCAGGCGGAGTATGTTATTCTCGAGGGCGACCTTTCCTAACACCCCGTTCCTATGAGAGGGCAGCATCAGTATGGCACTACTGGTCATCCAAGGGAATTAACTTATTGCTATCACACCCTGTCCAGCTAGCAGCGGCACGACTTCGCCCTCAGACTCCCATTAGTGCGTAGTAACACTATAATGATAACTACTTTTCATCTTACCGCTACCTAGGAGACCGTTCTGGGATGTTAGAACCTCGAGGGAACAAGCGTCCTACCAGCATAACTCGTTGGATCATTGTGATATGCAATCCCGACCACCACATCAAGGTAACAGCTATTGACCGGTCCTGAGACAGTGTCAATCATTGAAGTCAGATGGCGAAAGAGAAGTCTTCACAAGCAAATTTATGAAAAGTTGTATAAAATCAGAGAGAGTAGACATCCTTGACAAATATCACTTGGCGTACAAAACTCACCTGATAATTCACCATTAGTTCTAACACACTCACGCTTGTTGGGACAGAATTCCTTCAATAGAGTGATTTACTTACCTGGCACTTCTTTGCGTTGAGGGACTCATAGGAACTCTCAATGGGTGGAGTCGAATATCGCCTTCAGGTCAAGAGTAACAGTTAAGGTTGAGCGCTGATAAACACGCCTCTTACAGAACCTGGAGGAGAATAAATCTGTAGCCGACACATATCAGGTCTGAAACACTTGATTTTCTCTGGCTTACTGTTCCTTAGTTCCACTTAGGCGTTTAATGAGCATAGAACCTGGGATCTTGGGAAGTATGTTCGTCATATGGATTCTCATTTGGTTATTACAGGAGGATTCCTATCCTTTCTTGAGACCAGTCAAAGAGGCTTTTGTCTAATTTCCATACTCTGGCTAGATCTTTATTTGATGTAATCAATAATCTTTGACCGCCATCCTTAAGTACCTCTGGTGCAAGCCTATCTAGTGCCTTTGCTCTTCGCCCTTCCAGGCTACTTGCGAACTCAACTTTTGCAAATGTTGGACGGCCAGTTTCAGCATTCCATTCAGGATGAGGCCGAATAGCGGTCGAGGAAAGAGTAGCGCTGGTGTACTCACTCTGACGTTTTCCAAAGCTTGAATAATCGGACTAACCTTTATCTTCAAATTGCTTATTCGGTCACCCAACTTTGAACACTTTGATATCACTCTTATTTTATCCATCTGTCTTTGAATTCTACTATGAAGTATGGCAATTTGAACAGTCAGTTGTGTGCGAGGTTCTACGTTGATTCTGTCCATCTGTCATTATCTTTTTCAATCAGTTGACAGCGGAATTATCTATACAGAAGAAATTCGATGAAGTTATCTGATATAGACCTTGACAACTGGACAGGAGAAACTAGTGACTGTAGACTCTAGGTGATGCGGCTTAGGATCGATGTATACACTCATTATTCTCACCCAGACCTCTATACTTGATTACATTTTCTCATTCCTCCTTCCTCTCTTTTACAACTTTCTACTGCTTTCTGACCGGTTTTTCCTTTATTCTTCATCTTTCATTTTATTACCTTGTTACTTGATGTGCTAATATGAAGTGTGGCGACTTGAACCGTTACCCCGTAATGTTTGGTCTTATGTTGATCTTGATGATGAAACATTGATATTGTACACTTTGATTTGTCATCATTTTGGTGGTTTTAATACTACACAACGAAGCATCAGTAAGAGTAATATTGAATTGTATTTTTCATTTATTGAGAAATATAAATATGAAACTCATACATAGGATACTGATTTCATGCAAAGTGCTGCCTAACAACATATAACTGGGAAGATGATTACAACTCAAAGATGCAGCATAGATTTACTGTTGAATCCATAAAGATGAACTTATTTCTCTGCAAGTGTTTCGACTGAGAGGGCTTGAGCATGTACTACGCATGCCAAGCCATCGGCTACCTCGACGTGCCATGCATAGGAAGTTGGATTAGGTTCGAAGATGGTTCAGGGTGGTCAGACCAAGAGGTGGTACAAGTCAGCGAAGTCTGTGACTATTATTTTGAGGTGTATGGGGAGATGTCAACTATTTGACTTAGGTCCCCGAGATGATAGGAATCACTAGTCAGGGACTGTCAGTTACATGGCTGAAAATCGGTCACAATGGCAGCGCAAATGTATTCACTCTTGGACATCTTCCAAAGCCTGAGTATCTGCACTAACCTTTGTCTTCGAATTGCTCTCTATCCAGCTGATGTCTGTATACTACTGTGAAGTGTAGCAACTTGAGCCGATGCACCTGTTATGAGGTTCTACGTTGATTCTGTCTATCTATCTGTCTTATATTTATGCATGACGCAGTAAATTTATAGAGTGATTTGGTTGGTTTATGGTTATTAGCCCTTATACAAATAGTTGGGTATTTGATAATTAACTGTCCAAGGGTACAATAACCTAACAAATTCTTTCACTAATTGTTTCTTTTTATCAGCAAACAATCCAAGCTTTCAATTGGCTCTACTTTATGTGGCAAATGAAATTTTAACTAAAAGCTTCAAGTATGGTGTTTCTGAATTCGGTGAAGCCTTAAAACCTGTTGTTATACAAGCAACACAGTATTTAAAGTGAGTTGCATCACTTTGACCAAATTGAACAATTTCTGCTTTCAGACCTGGACCATTTATATCTAAGCTTACCAAGTTGATTAATTACTGGACTTATCGTAAAGTGTTTGATATTAAATTTACTGAGCAGCTGTTACGGAGGTTAAGTAAGTTAACGTATTTTTTAGCCTTGTATATATTACTTTCTCCCACTTTTTAGATAATGTTGAACAAACTGACAAGGAAGTTTTAACTCCACCATCACGATCTAATAATGCAGATGATATGGTTAAAAACTTTAATGTAAGTTGGTAATTATCAACCGTTGATTATATATATATATATATATATATATATATATATATATATATATATATATATATATATATATATATATATACTTTTAAGGGAAGCTTTTATCATAGACACTAAGATTTATTCGAAGCATGTTTAGGAGCTCAGGAACTTGGGACAACTCTTCTTCCTCCATGTTTATCATGTTTCTATCTATGTATTGCATACTTTTAATCCAAATCCGTCAGCATACTTTGTAGTAGGTATGCTACGTGCAAAATGTCAAAGCATTTCCGGATATGGCTTTTGGCCTAGTATTTTAGACAGTCAACTTAGAAATTATTAATGTTGTAATGTATGCTACCGATGAGAATATATATTCAAACAGCATGTAGTGCGGGATCTTTGGAAAACGTCGGGAGCTCATACAATCAACCGGCGAACATTCTGGACAGAAAAAGAAAGATGTATTGGAAGTAGCCAGATTACAACTCAGGTAGAAAATAGCTTATCAGGCCGAAATACTTTATTAATACTGATTTTAATTCTCTCAATAAACAGTCTCATAGTGCACTCACCCGTGAAGATATCGTAGTTTATAGTATCCTGTGAGGAAGGATATCAGGAGCTGTCTATCTGACTTCGAAGTTATGATGGAGTTAGTGGGTGTACCCATCCGATACCTTGATGTGGTGGTCGGGTTTGCATATCACAATGACCCAACGTGTTACAGGGACTGGAATGCTTGTCTCCTTAAGGTTCGTTGGATGTTGGCAAGACGGCAAACAGTAACCATTATATATAGTGTAAATTGCTACTCTACGGTCAAAGTCCTGAGGTAAAGTCGTACTGCTAGGTGGACGGGAGTGTGACAACACTAGGTTGTTTCCGGTGGATGGCCGCCAGTATCGTGTTAATGCTGCCTTCTCGGTGGGGAGAAGTAGTTAAAAAAATTTGCTCTCCAAAATACCACACTCCCCTCTACCCTACAGTCTTTCGGTATCGGCCATGTGCGGTTTTCCCATCTTGCATTAGAACAACCAAGTCGCAAACCAACAATCCTCTGAAGGTTTTGTATATGATAGGCCTCAAGCAGATGTCTCATTGGTTCTGCTGTCGCCCAGATCTTTTTCGGTTACCCTGGAGAAACAACTTCCACGGTGTGGGCGACCGGGAAGTGCCAACCACCCACACGTTTCTATTGATACAAAAGGTTCAGTTGAATGTAACCTATTTTCGTACCTTTGTCTCCTTCACTTTCACCACCTGGTAACAGTATTAATCCTCTTACAACTTCCCCAAGCTCTCACTCTGCAACTATTACCAACGATCCAAGCTAGTGGACACCGTTCCTAGTCTTCTAAGGTTCAGTTGTCGATTTCACATTGGAGCCCTCAACGTCCGAACCCTATACTAAGTCAGACAGCAAACATCGCTCGTCAAAACTGGAATATCTAGTCATGGATGCATGCTGTGTCAATGATACATATATACAAGACCCCATTACGGTTATTAAATTGACGTCACCTAGCCGTAGTAGTGAATCTTCAAAATTCACCTTAAAAGTATCCAAAGAGCCAATACCTAGTTCTCGTGCTGTCTCTTGTGTAGGCATAGCATTGAGTTGTAGAACAGGAAGTGCATTTCTTGACTGGATACCAGTCAAAAACCGTTGATGTGCTGTCCGTCTAAATGGATCTGTGATAAAGAGGAAGAATAGTGAGACTGTTTGATGCCACATACGCGCCCACCGACCGCAGTTCGGATAATGCAAAAGCTGAATTCTATAAAAAGCTTTCAACTTTGCTAAACAAAACAAAACGTCTAGATGTAGTCATGATGGTAGGTGACTTTAACGCTCAAGTAGATAGGCTGAATCAATCTGAGAAGCATCTAGGGGTTATCTACGGAATCCCATCCCAAAGAACCGGCAACGGTGATTATGTGTTGCGATTTTCCTCCGACAATCACTTGTTTCCGACCAACACTAACTTTAAGCATAAGAGGAGAGACTGTCTTACATGGCTTTCCCAGACTTCAAACCAACGATGGACTCAGATAGAACACATTGCTACAAGCCAAAGATCGTTGGAGAGGATTACCACTCTTTCTGGAGTACCAGTTTGGACTCTGATCACGCGCTAGTACGGGCACGTGTTAGTCTGCACCTTACTGGTTGTAGGCATTAGAAGACAGTAAAACCCATGTTTGTTCATTTGGTAGATGAAGACATCAAGTACGCATTTAGAAAGGAGTTAGCCAAGGATATATCTACCAGATGATATTAAGTCTGCTGTAAAGTCAGTGGTAAAGACAGTTGTTAACCTACACCTGAGGGTTAACAAACTTCATTGGATCACCTGAACGTCAGTTGACCAAGAGTCTTCGTATCGATCGTGAGAAGTAGCGGGTGTCGAAAGCAAGGCAGACGGAGAAAGCATCAGCGTTGGATAACACTCAGAAACTATTTAGGCTTGTTAAAGATACCGGGAGGAGGAAGGCGATGTTTGGGGAAACCGTCACTGAAAACAGTGAGACGCTGATAACCTCCGAGGATAGGCGGCTAGAACGTTGCACAGAACACTTTGAAGCACAGTTCACTTGACCGACAGCACTGTCTCAGTTGACCAACATCCAGTCCAAACCTGAATGTAGCGTAGATGTTGGTCCTTCAACTGTCCTTAAAGTTGAGAAGGCTGTTTCGGGCCGGAAACAAAGAAAAACAGCAGGGCGTAATGGTTTGCCACCTGACGTTTTTAAAGATGGAGGTAGAAAGTTACTGAGTAGAGTAACGGAGATAAGAAGCAGTTTATAAGAATTAGAGGTAGTTCCATCAGAATGGTCTACTTCACTGATGATTTCAATGTAAAAGAAGAGGTAGAAGTCTTCTTTTAGCAGCCATAAAGGAATCAATTTAGCGAACATTGTGTTCAAGGTTTTGGGGTTCATGATTATTCAACGCCTAACTGGAGCATGAGAACAGCCGATTCGAGAAAATCAGGCAGGTTCCAGACCTAGACGATGGTACATCGTTTATATTTTACCCTCTGACAGTTTCTGGAACATAGGCATACTTACCAAACAGTGGCTGACACTTGCCATATTTGTTGACCTGAAAGCGGAATTTGATTCTGTCGACCGTGAAGTGTTGCAGGAGTGTCTGACTGTAAGGCGAGTACCGAAAAAGTATGTAACGTCAATTTAAGGTCTTTAGTCGAACCCAAGCAGCCATGTAAGGGGTTATGGAGAGAGGTCCGTCAGGGATGACCAATTTCACCGTTCTGATTTAACTTCGTCATAGGCGTACTAATGGACACAAACTTAGGTACATCTGACCTCACAGGGATTGACCTACTCCCTGAAGGACGTTTAGTTAACCTGGAGTAGTGCTTTACCTCATTGGCCTAAGCGGTTAACTCCCAACTACTGGGTCGTTGGTTCGAATCCCGCCACATCTACTATGGCTTATGGAGCCAGATAGTATCATTAGCCCTTACATAATAGGTGTGGCTCGTTGTCTACCACATAGATGTGCAGAAGTTTGCTGTATGTAGTACGTAGACGATATTGTCCTGCTAAGTTAAGACACTGACAAAATGTGAGTTCATCTGAATGCTGTGATCTGAAATCGGAGTATTTTTGGCTGTCAAACGTATCACACCATTCAGGTATACGATGATACTTCAGGACTGGTGTGCAACTACTTTCAGTTGAAGGATAGGGAGTGAAGTGGTGGAATGTGTTGACCATCTCACTTACTCATGGATTTGCATCAACCCGAACGGGCTGGTTGCAGACACGATGCCAGCTGAGATACGGAAATCCCATTTGGCATTCGCTAAATTCTGTCATCTGTGGCACGGAGTGGCGTTATCTCCAACTGCAGTTTTAAAGAAAAAGAACTCCGAAATGCACTCATCAACCTTGTTCACGTTCGTACACTAGGCAATAAGCCACAACCGTTGTGCGAGGGCCAATGATACTACCTGGCTGCATAAACCACAGCAGGTGGAACAGGGCTTGGACCCGTAACCCCTTAGTTGAAAGAGCCACAGCAGCAGTTTGTTGTGTCCTGTTATATGTACGGTTGTGAGACGTCGCCGTTTAAAATAGATATCAAGTGTTTACAAGTTTCCGAACACAGATATCTTCATAGCATTGCTCATGTATCGCGGAATCACCTTGTTAGCAATGTCGAGGTTATCGAAAGGATACTAGGCAAGGAAGGGAAGTCAGTTGACGAGGTTGCTGATCTTCAGTGACTGAATTGGCTTGTACGTGTGTTACATAACCGAGTTATTACGTTCGTTAGCGTGTTATGCTAGGAGAAATTGGATTAGGTTGAGAGAAGACTCAAGATAACCAGACCAAGACGTGGCACTTGTTCATAAAGTCTCTGACCGTTGGTGTAAACCTTGTGGGAAGATGTAGACACTACCTAGTTGAGGTCTTGGAGATGATAGGAATGGGTGGTTAAAAACAATGGTCTACTTAGCTGAAAATCGATCATAATAGTGCAGATGTATTCATTCTTTGACGTCTTCCAAAGCCTGAGTATTTCCACTTACCTTTGTCTTCAAATTGCTTATTCTCTCACAGAACTTTGTGTACTTTTATATCACTCTTATTTCATTCACCTGTCTTTGTATACTATTGTGAAATGTGGCAACTTGAAGTGATGGAGTTGTGTACGAGGTTTTACGTTTTTGTTGGTCAGATAATGTAATGGGAGGGAGGGGGGTGTTCTGTGTAGAGCTAGTGGCACCCAATACCTGGTGAAGACAAAGCATATTACAAGTTGGATAAATGTTGTGGCGGTTGCAGACTATGGGGAAAGATGGCCACCCAAGTGTTAATCCGGCTGTTTTTGGGAAACCATGAAGTGCCAAAAAAGAGAGTGACGAATTCAAATTCCCTTTGGAATGAATCGGTGGTAAGAGGATAAGGGGATGGCGCCATTTCAACCCAAAACGAACGGTTTGGCAGAAAGAAACGGCTGTATGTGTAAA